GAATCACGCACCATGTTGTATCCTGGGTCTGGCTTCTCAGGTTCAGCCTGGTGTCCGTGAGAGGTGCACAGGCTCTGATGTACAGCCACATACCACCACTGTCCCTGTCACCCCCCAGGGTGCCCTCACCCATCCTGTGTGTGGGACATTTCGCTGTTCAGCCAGTACGAATAGTGCTATGCATTCCAGGGCAGGATTTCCTGGGGACACATTTCCTCATTCCTTCTGGATCAGCACCCAGGAAGGGTACAGAATATTCAAGTGTTTAGCACTGATAGAAACTGATGAACTGAAGCCAGGTGCAGTGATGCTTGGCTGTCATCCCAGCACTCTGGGAGGCTGAAGCAGGGGGAGCATGAGTTTGAACCCAGCCTGGACAACTTAGTGAGACCTTGTCTGAAAATTAAAAAATACAAAGGGCTATTTAATAAATAATAGATAGCCAATTTAATAAATGGTGTTGGAAAAACTGGATTTCAACCTGCCAAAGATTAAAACTAGACCCATGCCTATCACCATGCATTAAATTAAGATCTAAGTGGATTAAAGATTTAAATATTAGGACAGAAACACTAAATTCGCTGGAAGATAAGTTAGGTAAAACTCTTGAAGACATTGGTATAGGAAAAGACCATGAACAAAACCTCAGTGGCACAGGAACTTGCACAAAGAGTCAACAACTGGGATCTTATTAAAAAGCTTCTGCACTGCAAGAGAACCCACCAACAGAGCTAAGAGACAGCCTACAATGTGGGAAAAAAATTTCAGCAACTGTACCTTAGACAAAGGACTACTGTCTAGAATATATAAAGAACTGAAAAAAATCAGAGCCCCCCCCCAATTCAAAGACCCAATTCAAAAATGTCCATCTGAAATGAACAGACATTTCTCAGACAAAGAAGTAAAAGCAGGAAATAAATATATGAAAAAATGTTCAACATCACTGGTTATTTGAGAGATGCAGATGAAAACAACACTGAGATTCCACCTCACCCCAGAAAAAATGGCTGCTATTAAGAAATCAACCAATAACAAATGCTGGCGGGGGTGTGGGGAGAAAGGAACCCTTCTCCATTCCTGGTGGGAGTGCAGACTGGTGCAACCACTGTGGGAATCTGTATGGAGATACCTCAAAGAACTAGGACTAGAGGCCCCATTTGACCCAGCTATTCCCCTGCTGGGGATCTTCACAAAAGAATTAAAAGAATCATACCACAGTGATATATGTGCACCCATGTTTATAGTTGGAGAGTTCGTAATAGCAAAAGCTTGGAAACAGCCCAAGTGCCCATCAGCTGGAAACTGGATAAAGAAGATGTGGGTTTTTTTTTTTTTTAATAAAATGGAGCCATAAAGAATGAGAAACTAGAGGCATTTATAGCTAAATGGATGCATATTGAGGCCATCCTCTTAAGTGAAATAAATAGGACACATATGTGTAAATACCGAATAGTTTCTCTAGTGTGAGAGTTAAGGATACACACAGATGAAATGGCCTAATAACATATTTCTCGGATTGTGTGTCCATCATGTGTTATATGAATTAGGGAGAAGTTTGGCTTATGTGGAGTCTGCTAACTAACTGGAGGTTTTTTTCCAGACCACTATTTGTTCAATGTTGATTTGGGGGATCTTTCTGAAACAAATCACATCCTCTGGTGTCTTGTTGGTGCTTGAGATGCTTTTATAAGTTATATGGAAAAATGTTTAAGTGCTTTTCAGTTTTGTTTTGGTTGAGTTATACTGTATTTGAATATTATTGTAGTTTTTTCCCCTTACATTGTTCTTCTTTGAATGGTTTTAATTTTTTGTATGTGTGTGTTTGATAATAAAGTTTGTTTTTTTTTCAAAAGGCTGGGGATATAGCTTAGTGCAAAGGGCCTGGGTTCCATCCCCAGAGTGGTAGGGGGAAGAAAGAAAAGGAAAAGAATCTTCTGGGCACTGCCCATGTGATCAGACCCAGCCATCTTTGGGGCAGATGTACAATAACAAAGTCACAAGTTCACCTTTTGCACTGAGTGGTCTCACGAGTGGCTCTGCAGTCGCACACTCAATTGGTTCCTGTTTCATGGTCACTGTCAGTCATGTGCAAAACAATACCAAGTACTGAAAACCTTTGCCCTTGGTGACTGTCCTGGCCTCCCTCCTTCCCTGAATCCTACACACCCACCTCACAGCTCCAACCACTCTGGGTTCAATGGTTTTGTCTGTATCTTGGCAAGTTAGAAGGTCTTTTTTTCAATTTTTTCCTTTTGGTACTGAAGATTGAACCCAGAGCCTTCACATTGGACTACATCCCCAACCCTTTTTATTTTTTATTTTGAGACAGGGTCTCACTGAGTTGTTAAATTCCCCAGGCTGAGCTGGAACTTGTAATCCACCTGCCTCAGCCTCCCAAGTGCTAGTATGACAGATGTACACCACCAGTCCCAGTTTGATAAGTTAGAATATCTTACAGTTGCTGTAGCTAAACTGCAATGTGCAGAATGGGGAATTTATATATAAAGATATCTTCCCAGGATGGTCCAAATGAATTCAAATGCCTTCATCCTCTTCTTCTTTGACCAATCTCCCTGTCCTGCCTTCCAGTCTATACGTGCTTTGTGAAAATTTAGTTATTCAGGACAGAGTTTGACATTTCTTAAACCTGAAGGCATAAATTCCGTATGGATCCAGAAATTCCACACCTAGGGCTTCTCTTACAGGCCTGCATGCTAATATGTATAGAGAATGTTTGAGGTGATAATGTTCAGTAGACTCAACTATAAACAACACAGGTGTCCATTAACAGGATAATGGATAACACACTGGTTGGAGCTTTCTGTGGAATATTATACAGCACAGAAAACAAACCATCAACAGCTACATGTGACAACAGGTGAGCCTAAAAGACATAATTGTGAACCAAAGAAACAAGACACTGCGGAACATGTCCTACCTAAGTCCATTTTTTACAAAAGTCAAAAAGAAGTAAAAGCAAACAGTATTGTTTAGGAATGAGTAACAGAGTAGTAAAGCTGCAAAGGAACACCATTCAGTCAGGGGGTGGGGACTCCTGGGGGAGAGGCGGGCACATGAGTGGGGTGGGCAGGCTTCTGGGGGCTAACGCGGTTCCCTTCCAGCTGTTTCCTAATTTGTTCCTTTATGTTTAATGCAATTTTTTTCCTTTCAGTGTAGTAAATTGCTCAATAGGAAAAAGCAAGATGGGAAATGCTTGTAGGGTTCTGGAGCTCACCCCACACCACACAGCACGGAGCACCTGGACACTCCGGGACCAGCCTCCCAAGTGCTAGTATGACAGATGTACACCACCACTCCCAGTTTGATAAGTTAGAATACCTTACAGTTGCTGTAGCTAAACTGCAATGTGCGGAATGGGGAATTTATATATAAAGATATCTTCCCAGAGTGATCTGAACTGCCGGGAGTTCAGATCGGACCCCACTGGGGTCTCAAAGATGGGATAAACCTTTCCTTCCAGCTTCCAGAGCCGTGGAACTTGCAACTTTCACAGAAGTAACCTCCAACCATGCTCCTATCTTCCAAAAAACTGTCTTTTGCTAAACAGACCAAAATGTGCTTAGCGATGCGCACACTGCACCTCTCTAGGCGCGAATCCCCTTTCCTTTAAGTTTTTCTCTCTTCCCTCTTTCACGCCAGGCTGCGGACCACCGTCAAAGAGCCAGCGGGGAACCAGGTTTGCTCGGGGGGGGGGGTGCAGGAAACGGCCCCGACTCCCCCAGCCTGGCGACCTCCGCCGTCCGTGTCCCTGGCGCCCGCGGGCCCGGAGCCCCCTCGCGATTGGCCGCGGCCGTCACGTGCGTGCTGGGTGGGTCCTTCTGCCTCCAACTCGGAGCCGCGCTGGCCAGCGGTGTGGACCTTTGCGCCCATTTTTTCCCCTTTCCTTCCTCTTCTCGCACCTCTCCATCCACACCAGTCTTATTTTAGCAAAACAGGAGGAGGAGGAGGAGGGGGAGGAGGAGGAGGAGAGGGAGGAGGAGGAAGAGGAGGAGGAAGAGGAGGAGGAGGAGAGGAAAGAGGAGGCGGCGGCATCTGGGGGTGGGGGTGCCAGGCGCTGCAGCACCCGAGCAGCTCCGGAGCGCGCATCCCCCTCCTTCCCCGCCGCACCCGCCCCCCCCAGCCTTGGGAATTTTCAGGATTTCATTGCTGCAATTGAACTCCAAGACGAGGCGCCGCCGAGCGCCGCGCAGCGAGCACGCACCCACTTCCCAGCGGAAGAAGCAGCTGCTGGTGATTCAGGAAGAAAAAAAAAATTTTTGAAACCGGGACCCTGCATTTGGAAGCCTCCCCGTGTGCCCTGGGGAGCGCGCCCTGCCTCTTCTCCTCCCCATTTCGCTTCCCTTCCTCTCCTTTTACTGAGGGGACGGTGGCTACAGATCTCAGTATTTTACAGGTCTAGGAAAGTCAAGCCAAAATCAAGGAGGGAATTTCTTTTCTTTCTCTCTTCTTCTTCTTCTTTTCCCTTGATACTCAGCTCTCCGGCAAAGACCTGCTTGGTTTTGTTTTTGGGTTTTTTAAAAAGATTTTTTATTTTTAAATGGGCTAAGCGCACTGTTTTTGCAAGATGCCAGCCTGACCTGGACCCCGGAGGAATTTGAGGCTCCCACTGCGCCCCGGGAGGAGGAGGAGGCGGAGGAGCAGCAGCAGGAGGAGGAGGAGGAGGAAGCGGAGGAGGGGCGGCGAGGCCTCTTTTGCACACCAGTTCGCGTTGCACGGGGGGTGTGCGCGGGGCTCTTTTTTTTTAATAACTGATTTTTTTCTTCCTGGTCGAGTGGGCGGCGGGATCGCCCCTCGCCCCGCCCCGCGCCCCGCGCCGCCCCCGCGCGATGCCCCGCGCCGCGATGCCCGGCCCGGCCGGGGCCGCCGCCGCCTGAGCGCCGACCCCGGGCCGATGGGCTGGGCCGAGGGGCGGCTCTGCAGTCGCAGCTCCAGCCGCCGGGGCGTCCTCCTGCGCAGCCCGCCGCAGCGTGACCGGGGCCCGTGCTCTCCGCAGGATGGCCCGCTTCGGAGACGAGATGCCGGCGCGCTACGGGGGCGGAGGCCCGGGCGCTGCCGCCGGGGTGGTCGCGGGAGCCGGCGGCGGGCGCGGAGCCGGGGGTCCCCGGCCGGGCGCGCAACCCGGGGCGCAGAGGGTGTACAAGCAGTCGATGGCGCAGAGGGCGCGCACCATGGCCCTGTACAACCCCATCCCCGTCCGCCAGAACTGCCTCACGGTCAACCGCTCCCTGTTCCTCTTCAGCGAGGACAACGTGGTGAGGAAATACGCCAAAAAGATCACCGAATGGCCATATCCTTTCTGCCCGCGCTCCGGCGCCGGCCGAGGGACTCGGGGGCTCATGGGAGCCGGAGAGGGCGCGGGCCAGCCGGGCTGGCATCCGTGCGCCCGGGCCGGACCATAGCCCAGGAGGCCAAGGAGTGGGCTGGGGGCCCGGGGCGGGAGCGCGGAGACCTGGAACACCGTTCCAGGGCGAGGTCTGGGCCCCGGGTGGGACAGGGGTTGCCCTGGGTGCCTTAGAGCCCGCTCGCGAGGGTCTGAGTTCTCTGGGGTGAGCGTGGACCGCTCTAGGGCCTGGGCACTTCTGGCCCCAGGGCAGGGAGCCCTGGGGGCCCTGGCCAGCTTTCTTGGGCCACCCTCACCGGATCCATGGCTGGCCCCGGAGCCAGACCAGGTTCTCCATCCCTGCCTTCTCCAAAGTGGGGGCCGCATGCTCAGGACAGGGCCAAGAGCCCAGGAGGACCACTGTGTGGCCTTCCCAGGGAGAGAAGCCGGCCAGGCAGAGTGCAGACCTGGGTGACCCGACCTGGAGAGGCCCAGTCTGGCTGGGGGTGCTTATTCCCTGTCTTTTCAGCCAGGGATACACCGTCCTCGACATTTGGGGTGCCAAGAAACAGATCCATTTGCCTTATCTGGGAGCCAATGGCCTAGGAAAACCTAATCTGGTCGATTTCAGTAAGTAAGACTGAAGAGCAAGAGAGAATGAGATGCTTTCTTAGGGGTTCATGTCCGGCCTTGGGTTGAGTTCAGCTTCTCCCACCTTGGGGAGCCGGAAAGGGACACCGGAGAATCAGTATCCATGTGGACATCTTCTGCAGGTAAAAGTCTTGCTTATTTATTTATTTATAAATAAATCAGAGATCTAGAAGAGGAAGGGGAAGAGGAAATCCTTCTCTATTGAGTTGCTACCTAAATGCAGTCCCCATGTTCCTTTAATCAGTGCCTGCTTCCCAGGAAGCTGGAAGAGCCTCTGCACCTCGCAGATGTAGGCAGCAAGGGTGGGTGATCAGTTGGGCTCTCTGGAAGTTATCTAAGCCTGACCCAGATTCCAAGTAGGGGGACACACCCTGCTCCCCAAGCTGACTGGTCACCAGGCCATGCCTGAAGGTGCTGCTTTTCGGCTTGATTTCAACCAGCTGCCTTCAGTGTAGAAATGAACAGGCTGGACAGGTCCTTGTGGCTAGTGCCGGGTCACCTGTCCCCTTTTTTGTATGGTTTTGACTCCCACTGTCCACAGGGCTGAACCCTTCTTGGTGTTGTGGTCAGTATTTCAGGAGTGGTGATTAATGGCTGAATTTACTTCTGGGAGGATTTGAGATTGTTGGCTTCCGGGTGCTGAGATTGTAGCTGGGGGCATTTGCTCTTGGCGTGTGTATGGTCTACTTTGAGGGTGTGAGAAGCAAGATTCAGCACAAGCCCTTGTTTTAGGGTGAGGTGTACCCTTAACCACACTGTCAGAGTGCCTAAAACAGGAGCCAGGTCTTTAGCTCCTTAATTCCAGCCTCAGAAGAGGCTGTCCCTGGAGGGTAGAATCCTCCTCCGCCCTCTGGCAGGCCTGGCAAGTGCAAGGGGAGGGTGCAGGAGGGGCTGCAAGGGGCATCTGTCTACGCCAGAGGCTCCAGGGCCTTCCAGGCAAGAGTCCCTGGACTGACAGGTTTCTGAGTTGAAAATGGCTTTTCTATCCACTCTCCAAAGCCTGGGCTGAGTCTTCTAACAGGAAAGGAAGGAAGTGGGAGCCTTCTGTGTGTCCTGAGCTCACCCCCGGTGAGCTGAAGCCCTGCAGATCCAAGTGCTGGTGGGGTGGGGGGGCGCGGTGCCTGCTCCCCAGGAGGACGTGGGGAGATGCAGGTGAACTGGCAGCCTGGCTGATCTCTGGCTAGCTTGCCGGAGGCTCTCTTGCTCTTGGTAGCTTTGTGATGAGTAGTGATTTTTTTTTTCCTCTGCAGAGTTTTTGCTCTCTGTTTGGCCTGAGGTAACAAACACATTATCCAGCCCCACTCTGCAACGGAGAGCTCCCCACCCCATTCCCAATCTGTCACCCAGCCAGGTCACCCAGCCAAGCCTTGAGCTTTCTCTGGGAGGGATGGAGGGAGGAGAGACAGGGATCTGGGGCGGCCGGAGGAAGAAGATGAACTGGAATGCTAAGGAGTCAGGATACCAAGGCAGAACATGGACTTTTAATCTGAAAACTGTGGGCATTTCTAAACATATATTTAAATACTGATTCTGAACTTTTAGAGCAGAGTCTAAAATATGTACAGGAAGCACACAAGTTGGGCCCAGCTTCTTAAAGGGGGCACACGCAGCCATGGTGTGGCCCCCAAGCCCAGGGACAGAATAGGAACAGGAACCCCAGAAACCTCCCTTCCCCAGCATAGTCGCTTCCTGGACAAGGGGATGGGGTTCCATCCGCATATAAATGGAATGACACCATATGCTCTTTCATGTCTGGCTTCTTGTGAGAGGCGTCCACATTGCCGTAAACACGTCTCCTTTTTGTGTATTCTTCTTCTTATTATTATTTTGCAGTAGTGGGAATTGAACTCAGGAACTTTACACTGAGCTCCGTCCCCACCCATTTTAAATTTTTTTTTTTTTTTTTTTTTTAGTACCAGGGATTGAACTCAGGACCTTGCATTTGTGAGGCAGGTGGCGGAACCACTGAGCTAAATCCTCAGCCCAGCCCTTTTAAAATTTTTAAACATTGAGACAGGGTCTTGCCAAGTTCCTAAATTGCCCAGGCAGGGCTTGAGCTTGGGATCCTCCAGCCTCAGCCTCCCGGAGTGCTGGGTCGACAGGCATGTGCCACCTTATCCAGCTTGTGTAGCATTTTCTTGTGTGACTCCACCATAGTCTACATGTCCATTCTACCGTTGAGGGCCATGTGAGTGGTTTCCCTTGTGCTGCTGGAGACATTCTTGGACACATCTTCTGTTAATTCCCCCCACTCCTTCATTTCTCTTGGATTGTCCCTAGGTATGACATTGCTTCTGCCACCTTCTGATGCCATGTAGTCAGACATGTGCGTAGAAATGGGGCTCGCTGGGGGTGCCAGCGGTGCAGGAGGAGTGAATGAACTCCTCTGTCTTCTCGCAGATCCGTGGACTCCGTGGACTCATTGTGACTTCCGAGTGACAGTTCCTGGGCATCGAATACTTTGGAAAACTGAAGTGCAAGCCTTTGTCCTTCAGGCTCATGTTGTTTTCTCTTTCCTTGGAGGGTGTCAGGCAGCAGTGCTCGGCCACCACAGCTTGTTCTATTGCCATGCATTGCACGTCTGGCTTTGACATGGCCAAGTCAGGGTTGGTGGTTGTCGGAGAGCTCCTATCTGTCCTGTAGGTGCAGGGCCTCCTGCTGTACTATCCTGGGCCAGTGCCACCTCCCGACCCCTCATGCCGGGGATGTCCCTTGGCACCATGTAGAATGCCCACCATCTCGAATCTGCGTGTGGCCATACTGGGTCTCCTGAGTCTCACCCAGGGCCCTGTCTTTTCACGCAGTGACTGGAACCCAACAGGAACCCCAGACTCACGTTGACATCAGGTAGCCCGTAGACACCGGTAAATTGGTGCACCTTCAATTCTATTATTTTGTAAAGGAAGGGTATGTAAAGGGAATATGCTGCATGGGAGACAGGGAGCCCTGGGGGATGTGAGAACACACTGTCAGACTCTCAGTCTATCCTGAAGAGTAGAATGTTCCAGAAGACACGATCGTACCTGATAGGGTGATCCAGATCGCTGGATCCTTCTACTAGATCAGGCTGGCTGGTATTTGCAGAACATAAAAATTCTGGGAAGTAAGACAGGATAGTTTTTATGTTGGCAGTGTTTTCGATACAAGTATGATCCCTCATTGACAATTCAAAAATCTAAGAAAACTCTGGAAATCAAAAAATGAAGGCCAGCTATGGAGGTGCACACCTACCATCCCAGCACTTGGAAGGCTGAGGCAGGAGGATCGCTGGGAGTTTGAGGCCAGCCTGGGCCACATAGTTCAAAACCAGCCTGAACGACATGAAAAAAAAAAAAAATTGGAAGTAAAACCTAATTGGAACTGAGTTTATATGAGTCTTTTTTTTTTTTTTTTTTTTGTGGTGCTGGGGATGGAATCCAGGGCCTTGTGTATGCTGAGCTACACCCCTACCATTTTGGATTTTATTTTGAGTTATCGTCTCCTCAGATTGTCGGAGCTGGCCTTGAACTTTCGATTCCTCCTGAGTGGCTGGAATTACAGGCGTGTACTGCTGTGCCTAGCTGGACTAGCGATCTGCAGCTAGTTCTCTCTTGTGATTGCAGGCAGCAGCAAGGCAGCAGCCACCAGGATTATGGCAATGCTCCATCCACACTGTGTGTGGTGGGGCTGAGCTGGGTGGCAGTTGTGCAGGGTGGGTCAGAGCATTTTCAGATTAGGAGGTTTTCAACTTGAGCGTGGGCTTTTAGGGACACAGTCAAGGTGGCCTGTATGTGGCAGTGAGGCTCACACTGCCATTGCCCGGGGTCATCTTGTTAGAACAATAGCTCTGGGCCTTGAGGTTGGGTTAGGCTTCAGGGTTTTACTTTTCTGACCAGCTTCTTTTCTGTTCCCTGCTCCCAGTCCATCCAAACATCAGCTATGCTTGGGATCTGGGTCCTGTTGTCTTTTTTCTTCTTCTTTTCTTCCTCTTAAAAAATCAGGCCTATTGAGGTATTATTTATTTGGTGTGAAATTCATCCTTTTTATGTATAGCTCGGTGAGTTTCCACAAGTGCCTGTGGTCATGTAGCTGGCCCCCAAATCAAGATATGAGAGAGTTCTGTCACCCTAAGTGACCCCTTAGTGCCCTATCAGCACCTTGCTCCCCCAGTCCCTCCAACCAGTTATCTGATCTTCATCCCTGAAGTTTCACCTTTCCTAGGAAGTTATTTAAATAGAGTAATTCAGTATATAAGGTCTTGCTAAGTTGATAAATTGCCTAGGCTGGCTTGAATGTGAGATCTTCTGACCTCAGCATCCCAGACTGCTGGAATTATA